AGATAATGTGTCTGTTTCTATAAAAACAGAAAGAAGGGACTTAATTGTTTAAAGGGGGAGTTACTTTAAAGGCACAGTGTGTAGGATTTTGTCAATTCTTTTAGCCTGAGATAATCACTAATGACAATAATAAAAAACATGTCTAATCATTGCAGACAAAGACCTTGTTTTATTATTTTTACCTTATAAAAAGCTGTTTATATCTCCATGGTCGCAGGTCGCCACACAGGCAGCCGCCATCTTGTCTACGAAGGCTCATGAAGGATAAGCTGCGGTGGCGGCGTAGCTGAAAACAACAAATCCTACACACTGTGCCTATAAAAAAGTTGTTAAACAGCTGAGTGGTGCACTACTGCTACTAGTGGTGAGATAGTGTATTGCACCTTATTCAAAATCAATGCGGTCCCACGGCCCTCCTTGGCCCAAAGTTACAAACTGTTGTTCTCTTGAGGCCCTCAAGGTGGCGCTCGCGGCCCGATTGTGGGCCGTGGCCCACGGGTTAATAATCTCAGGGTTAAAAAACAGGTTCTCTTCTAGCTTGGATTATTGCAAAAAAAAAAAAACTGCTTTTGGGGGCTTTATAGAAGAAAGTAAGTGTAAGTTAGAATTTAACTTTTAGGTTAGTTTAAACTTTTAACCATCTTCAGTTTGAAGTTGCTGTTTGTTTTAGCTGATTATCATGGTCTTTCTAAACTCAGACCTGATTAAGCTGAAGCTGTGAAGTGACTGACTGTGTTCACCTTTACCTTTTTATGAGTGCAGGCAGATGAACAGTTGGCTCTGCTGCAGCACGAGAAAGTGGACCTCCTGAAGAGGCTAGAGGAGGACCAGGAGGACCTGAATGAGCTGATGAAGAAACACAAAGCACTCATTGCACAGGTATTTCTTCACTTCGTTACACTGTCCATCAACAGTTTATCTCCTACTTAATGTGTCCCCATCAGTCCTCCAGTGACATCTCTCAGATCAGAGACCTGCAAGCAGAACTGGAGGAGGTAAAGAAACAGAGACAGTCACTCCAAGAGGAGGTAAGCCCTGTTTGACAAGCAGGAAATAAAAACAGCACCAAGAGTTTTATGAGCTATAGAAAGTGCAGGAGATGAGATCGTTATGGCTTTCTGCATCATTAAACCTCCTTGTTGCACATCTTAATGTAACAGCAGCTGCAGGTGAAGCTCTGTCATCAATGATAGGTCTGTGTTTGGCTCACCCTGCTCCAATCCCCACCCTCCTGCAGCTTCAGCAGTGTGTGTTGAGGCTACAGTTCCTGGAGTCGTCCACAGTGGGGCGCAGCATTGTCAGTAAACAGGAGGCTCGAGTCTGCGACCTGGAAAACAAACTGGAGTTTCAGAAAGGCCAAGTCAAGAGATTTGAGGTAAAATCAGATACTATTGAAATCCCTTCATCTCGGCTTTGGCCTAATTTTCTGTTATGCGCAGGTGCTGGTGCTGCGTCTGAGGGACAGTGTGGTGCGTCTGGGTGAGGAGCTGGAACAGAGTGCCCAGGCTGAAGCCCGGGAGAGAGAGAACGCCCGCTACTACCAGCAGCGGCTGCAGGAGATGAGGGTGGAGATGGAGGAGCTGAGCCAGAGGGAGCAGGAGAGCAGCCGCAGACACATGGAGCTGGTAAAGTCTGCTCGCAACCAAAACAGCTCACTGATTGTCTCCACATAAAATCTGCTTTGAGATACATTATTGCTAAATTTAAAAAAACTGCAAGTTATAATGATATTACAGTGTTATTTATTTATTCTTTTTGATCAAATGATGAATATAGATTAGCCTTGATGAGTAGACCTTATATACAGATGTCAAAGACTCTAACTGATATAAAACACAGTTGACTTTTTGAGACAAGGATAATAGAACAATTTGTGAGGCAATTAACTTTTGTTTTGCCTATTGTCACTGTACACCTATATTATGCAAAATTTACGTAGAAAGAAACTGGGATTTTAAAACCATTGTTGAAAACAACTACTGCAGAAAATACATTTTAAACATGTTTTAAACTATAAAATAGTCATGAATACCCAATACCTTTTTAAGTGTAAACTTAATTTCAACATCTTAATATCATCTGTATGTGATCTCTTTTTATATGGACTTATCGTACGCCTTCCTGTCAGTCATGATAAAACCTCATGTGTTAGCTAAATAAGCTCATCTGGATACATGTTAAATATATTAGTTAAAAGTCAACATATCACTTGTTTAAACCATATAAGTTTGAGCTGGATCACAAAAACAGTGACAACAGTAAAACAAAAATAAAGCTAAGCAAAAAAAAAAAAAAACTTTGGTACCTCAAAACTGTTTTTTTTGTTTTTTTTCAAATAAATCCTGGAGCAGTTTTTGAATCTGCTTATTTTTTCTCTGCAAGGTGGGGCATCTAACTGAGCATGTACACTATGAGTGTCATCACTCTAGCTTGTTTCTGTTTGGAGAAAAATGACGTGTTGCAACCGTCCCTTGTTGCTACTGTCCCCGGCTGTCATTTGTTTTAGTTTCAGTCAGTTGTTTTTGTTCATACCACTTAAAGGGGTAGCCTGGTCAATTTTGAAGTGATGTTCCATCAAAAAACTATCAATATTAGTACTGATCAGCCATGACATCAGTCATAGAGCAAAGAGAGAAAAGAGCAGAAATATTTGTGTAAAGTAGGCTAATGGCCAAACAAGAGTCTGTTGTTTTAAATAAATTTTCAGGCAAAGGAAAACATTGTTAATTTAAACCTTTCTCATTCCCTACAATAGTACGGTGCTGCAACACCATGATCATGGTGAGATATGTATCTCAGTATAAAGGTTATGGCTCTGTGCAAAAGAGACAAACAAACGTAGACAGACAATAATGCTCCCAGGGGCAGACACAGATAAAGTACACAAACCCCTAATTTACACTAGATGCAGTTCCGCTCCACTCAAGTCTGCTCTGGTTCGAAGCACAGAGGAGGTCCGTGAAGGATGTTCAGGAAATGCAAGATCAAACGACAAATCCAGTGATAAATGTGGAAGTCAGAGCAAAATATTTAATTCTGTGGAAGACAGACTCCAAACACAGCAGAAACTGCTTTGCTCTTGTCTTTTTGAAACTTTTGATTTCAAAATAAAATCCATGTGTATTATGTATGTCTGCATATGCTGCACTCTACATGTTGCCATCTGCTTCCCAAACAGAACGATACATTTTGACAGCATTTGTGTACAAATATATTCATATATTTATTAATATAGCTGGGATTTCAACAAAAAGTACTCTAACTTTGTCGGATCACTGTCCACTCACCTCTGCCCTGCACCACCAGTGTAAAAACTCTCGTTGATTGTAATGGTTGCAGATTTGATGCAGAGGTCGGACCGCAGAAGAACACAGCAGAACTGCATCTAGTGTAAATGAGGGGTAAGGGTGAGAACGGTCTAAGGTAGCAGGGCATGTATAACGTAGGATTTGTCAACAAACTTTAAAATTTAGTCTAAAACTAACTGAGAACCAATGAAAAGAAGCAAGTATAGAGGAAACATTGTGTGTTCATTGCATAAGAAGACGAGCTGCAGTCATCAAAGTCTGGCCTAACTAACATCAGCAAAAAAACAGTTACAGTAGTCCACGTAAGATCCATTATCTTTACCCAATTCTTCATTTCTGGGGGTCGCTATGCAAGACAGGGAGTAGACTGTAGTAGTGGACTAGAGACCTAGATAGGTCTCTAGTCCATCACAGTGACACACAACCAGTAACCCTCTCACTTACACCTAAGGCCAATTTTAGACTTACCACTGAACCAAATGCATGCTTTTGAGAAGAAACTTACACATTCACAGGGAGTACATATACAAACTCCACACAGAAAGTTCCCATGCTGGGAACCCAGGCTGAGAATCCAACAACCTTTTAACTGTGAGGTCATGCTCTACCAACTGAGCCACCATATCTCCGAACTATCAAACCAGTCTGATCCTCAAAGATAAAATGTGAAAGAAATATCCTAATTTTCTTTAAGCTTCAGGCAACCCAGATACATAAAAGAAGCATAGCATTTACCGAGAGCAAACATAACTTCAGTTATCTTCCTTTTTAAGATCGAGGATGTTTGAAGTCATCTGGACATTGATCTCAGTGAAACAATCAAACTATGGTTTTAATAGAAAACAATGATCCTGTTTCAGCTGAATGTAGATCTCAGTATCATCTGTACATGAATGAAAAGAGATGTAATGTTTTCTGAAAATGGAGTCTGAGGGGAAGAGGGAAAAAATCAGCCCGCGACTAGATCCCTGTGGTACTCCACCTGTGAGAAGGTCTGCTGAGGAAACAAGATGCAGGCAAAACCTAAACCAGTCTGGTGCCACAGAAAAGGAAATACCAGCATAATGGAGGGGTGATGGCAGACACGTTCATCTAATTATAATGAAGTGAAATGGACAAAAGGTTGTAATTCAGACCCTCAGTGTCCAATATTTTTATCTTTTATCCAGCAGACTCATGACAGCCAAACAAACAGCCAATGGATCTGTGTTCATGGTTGTAAAAACATCTCAGATCTCATTTCAGACAATCTTTCCTCCTCTCATCTACATTGTTTTTTGTTTTCTTCTTTTTATTGTCTTTTAGCCTGTCTTAACTCCTTTCATTGCTCTTTTCCTATACCTTTGTTGAATCACAAATGGTAAAGTTGGCCAGATGTGATGATTTTTTTTTTCTTTCTGGCTCACCATTACCCTGTGGACAAGATTTCTCTGCCTTCCACACACAAGCATCCTTGTACTTCTATCTACTGAGGACTTTGTATTGACATCCATTCATTTTTGTAACTGCATTTCTAACAAAGACATTTTCCCTGTCCCTAAACTGAACCAAAACTTAATTCACACCATGCTTCTAAGCCTAACTAGTAGAGCGCAGTAGAACTGTAAAAATAAGTGAGGACCAGGGAAATGTCCTCACTTTTGAAAAAAATCCTCACTTTGTTGGTTAAAAATGTATGATGCTCCTCACTGTGTAGCAGAAACAAATGCAAACACACACACTCACAGGCACACTCTGCAGTACCTGGGCAGCCTTTAAGCTACTAAATATAATCCCAACAGGCGAAACTTGTATCCCAACTGTGAGACATCATTTTAGAGGCAGCTTGGCAGGAAACACTTCCTCCAGGCGATGATTGAAAGCGAGCCACACTTCCAGAGCCTCCACTCCTCTGCTGATCTCATTAACACAAACAGCAGCTGGCCTATTATCTGGGAAATTTGAAAAATATCATTGTCACACGTGAAGACTGGGATCACAGCAGCACTGATAGCTCAGGCAGAGTTTCTCCACAAACACTGACTCAGGATCAGCAAGTGGTTGAATTAATGGCGTTTGTTGAGTCACTACACTAAATTTAACACTTAAAGTTAAATTTGATTAAATTTATAGCCAGCGCTAATGCCTTAATAATATTAGCTCTGGTTATAAATTTAATCAAATTTACTTTTACAAGCAAATTGAAGTGGATATAACATATTAGTCACTTCGGTGGATAGAAGTTTCACTAATGTATCAGCTCTGAGCTAACAACAGCTCGACGCTAGCGCAACAGCTAACAGGCTAGATGAGGTTCTCCTTCCATGAAGTAGCTCTGTTGATCTCTATCATCTTCACTTGCAGCCTGAGTCATTTCTATATTCTCCTCTGTCAAAGTGCTCTGGTTTCATTTAAAAGGGCTGATCGGCAGATATTATCCAAGACTTCAGAGGGATAAGCGTTTGCACAGCCTCACACTGGAAAACCTAGTGAACATCATCCTTTACCTGGTATGCTTTGCAGCGTTAATAAAATGGTGGCGTCCGTGTGACAATATTTCTATTAAATATAGAAAAACAAAACAGCCTACAGTATTTTCACAGTCTTTATTTTACAGTTAAAGTTAATCTAAAATAATGTCTAATGTTAAAAGTAATCGCTAAACTCTTTACTTACAAAAAGTATTTATATTGAAGCAAATTTTTTAAAAGGGAGTGATGTCTGTTTGAGAAGACGAACTCAAATAAAACCACTTTGTTTAGTATTTGTACAAAGACAACATTTCTGTTTTTATTACAGCTTTTGTTGTGACGTTTAAAAGAAGTGAACTTTTCTCATTAGAGGTTAACGTGGAGGAGGGTGGTGTTCTGAACTGCATCAATAAATCTGATCTTAAAGGCACAGTGTGTAGGATTTTGTCAAGTATTTTAGCCGAAATTGAGATAATCACTTATGACAATAATAAAAAACATGTCTAATCATTGCAGACAAAGACCTTGTTTTATTATTTTTACCTTATAAAAAGCTGTTTATATCTCCATGGTCGCAGGTCGCCACAC